AGTGTGTGTACATAAACCAAGACCGTGCTTTGTTCAAAGTGATTACATCTTGTTTGTAGCAAAAGCTAGAGAGACAAAGGTTCTCTCGCTGACAGTGTCAGAATTTTCTTAGGGAGAGGTTTGGCCTGGTGGGATGGGGGAGTAGCCACAGAACCATTCACTGGAGTCCTGAACCTCACTCTACCTCTCACCTTATCTTCCGGGACATTCAAGCTGAGGGTAAGTGCCAGACACTGGGAGTGTTGTGGACCATCAGGTTTAAGAGCCACTGATGGACCCATCCGCCAGGAATTAACTTAAGCGCTTTTTAAAGCTATTTATACCTTAGCCAAATCCCCCGAAATCACTTGGCAGTAAGTTTCATCATATAATTATTTGTTTAAAAAAGGAAACGAAACCCCTGCAAATCCTTCTTCCTTCTTGTGTTTTAAATCTGCTTCCTAATCTGAGTAAGCCCTTATCCTACTCTCCCTACCTACTCCTGCCTATTTCCTGTCCTGCAGCTGTGTCTTGGCTCATTCTGTAACTAGCACAGACTAGAACAATGCGACTGTGTTAGCACAGCAGTGTGGGAGAAATGCCGCCTCTGCTGCCAGCAGCCAGGATAATCTCTGTCCCTAGTTTTGGAAGCATGAGCAGCAGCTCTGGGACAAACAGAGACCTGAGGACAGAGAGGTTACAAACTATGTATTTACAACAACCCATCCGATATATGCACAGATGCTTCCTGTGAAGAGGGAATAGACTCATACTGATGCTACACCATGTCATAATGACTTCTGCAACCCCATGCCACAATCCCATCGCAGAGTTAAAAATACAGAATAAATCTGTAACTCTGTCTTGCAATACTGATGCCCTCTAGGCCATCAGTGTGCCTTATATATGCCTTGGCTGTGACTGAAAACTGACCTCAGAAAAGTTTTCATCAACATTAAAATTAAAACATGCACAGTCCACCAAATGGAGCATATTGCAAGCTAGCAAAATGTTTCATGCAGATAAACTTTGCTCAATTACTCTCCCCGTGCTTGTATAATTGTCCTAGGCCATGCATGCACATGTGCCAGCCCATGCATTTCTCTACTGGCATGTTACTACAATGCCACACGGTTTCTGCAGAGACCAGCTTCCTCCTGCAGAGGCAAGACGGCCTACTGTGAAAAGTTTCACATCTGCCAGTGTGTAGATGAAGACGGACCCAGAGCAGGAGTGAGCAACTCCACTTTAGATCTTATCGAGTTGGAATCATAGAATCATAGAATCGTTAAGGTTGGAAAAGACCCTTAAGATCACTGAGTCCAACTATTAACCTATCACTGCCAAGTCCACCACTAAACCATGTCCTCAAGCACCACATCTACACGTCTTTTAAATACCTCCAGGGATGGAGACTCAACCACTTCCCTGGGCAGCCTGTTCCAATGCCTGACTACCC